ACTCATAAACAAGAAATAATACAGAGATTCTGCTTATCCTTTACTTTGGTAACTTTTTAGTAGAAGGAATGTGTAAGTTGTGCTACAAAGTAAATAGAGCACAAGAGAGCCCCAACATTCAGCCAAATATTGTTTTCATATCTAAAAGGATTTTGATTCAGATATAAAATGGATAGGAAGGACTAGATAGGAATTGACTCAAGATGAACCAAAAATTTGATAATATACTGGGAACCACCTGATCACCTCCCTCTGAACTTTTGAATTTCTTGGCATAATGGTCATAAAAAGGGTCCCAGCCTGGACATCAGAGCATCAGGCAGCCCATCCCTGGATGTGCTACGGAGCAGACCTCATACTCAGCCCAAATTTCCATTCTATCATCGGCCTCAGTCAGCTGAGAAGGCAACCTTCCAAATTTCTCTTAGGAAGACAGCTTTTCAAATATTTGGGATGCATAATTATCTCTTTTGGATAAATAGTGAGGCTGATCTGGCTACGACACATCTGTCACCACACTGACTCAGCTGATCTTGCTGGATAAGCAGATGTCCCCTTCCTCCTCTTTTCCATGCCTAGTGCGTTCCTCCTAGAGCTGCATGCTCTGTTGAAGAGGACACCCTTCCCCAATAGAGGAGGACTGCTCCTTGGTCAAGGATATATGAGTAGCTGCACTCCCCTGCTAGAACCTCCAAAAGAGCTCTTAGGAATAAATGGTATTTTTAATTCCTAGGATATTTGGGATAAAGTATAGATACTAAGGGAATCAACAGGTAATATTTGCTAAATATTCTATGTGTCTTTGCTATTTTTAAGTACTTGATATATTTATGGAAAATTAGCATCTTACAAATTAACCTTTTGATAGCAATTTTAAAATGTGTATGTAACAAATTAAATTTCTGATTGCATGTTGAGATTTTACTGACTTTATAAGCACTTTGGAAAACATTTAAGAGATTCAGGTTCACTAAATATAAAATCAGATAATCAAAGTCCTTAAGAAAGTAAATTTAATGTTTTAAATTAATTTTATCAAATTAATGTATTATGTATTTTATATAATTTAAATTTATAAAATATACTCTACAACAGTTAAATAAATTTATTAAGTTGTTTTTAAAAATGCCCTATTAAAATAATTAAAACTTGCTAGGCTTAAAGTACTAAGATCATTAAAGACATCAAAAACTCACATTTAGCACACTAGGCTCACCAGATACTCAGATGTGCTGTGCTTGGTGACTACAATTGACAGAGAACTCAGCACTGTGTGAGGCAGCCTGTCCTGTTCAGGACAGCTAAGCTGCTGGGCCATCAAGAAGTCCCCCCTTTGCCATCAAGAAGTCCAGTTTGGGACTATTGGGAGAAGGTAGAACCTTTAAGAGAACGAGTCTAGCAGAAGGTCTTTAGGTGATTGAGGATGTGCCTTCCAGGGGGACTGCAAGACCCCAGTCTCTTCCTCTTTCTCTTTTGCTTCTTGACTTATGATATAAGTGAGGTCTACTCTACCACATGCTCCCMCCCTGATGCACTGCCTCACTACAGACCCAAATCAACTGGACCAATCAATCATGGACTGGAATCTTCAAAACTGTGACTCAGACTMAACCTCTCTTTATATGTTGGTTACCTCAGGTACTTGATGTAAATGACAGAACATTGACTAGCATGCTCCTTTTCCTTAGGAAAACAGCATCCTCTTTTCTCYAAGCTCAGCTCTCCTAAGTGCCAATCTTTCACTTGTTCCACAACCACTTATTGAGTGCCTGAAATGTTCCAGATGTTGTAACAGATGCTAGAGAGAAAACAACAAGCAAAATCCAGACCCTGCCCTCCAGTTCTCAGATGAGTGGTGAAAAGAAACAGGAGAGCAGGCAGGTCGAAGAGATAATGAGACAAGGGGAGCCTGAGAGCACAGAAGGACCCAGCCTATTCCTGCAGGGTCATGGAAGGCTTCCCAGAGAGAGGCCCTGTCTGAAGCCAGGGATGCACCTTGAGGTTGTTCTGGTGAAGAGGTTGGAGGAGAGGGAATGACATCTGAAATGGGCCTAAGGTAGGGGGAGCATGCCTCTTGCTGCAGTGCCTGCAGTTCCATGTCATTGTAGCTTAGATGGAGGTGACAGAGACTGGGAAGGCATTACCTCTCCTYCTCCCTCTAATTGATATTGCAGGGAGACTGGAATGAAAAACCTCTCTGAATTCATAAGGAAATTTTTGCACATAGGTGCCTCTACATTTAAACTGCATAGCTAGCAGCAAATCGTCACAGAGGTTATCGGCCTTAAAAAGATAGGACTTGCCGAAATAGATTGTCCATGATTTTTAAAATGCAGCACTTGAAGTTTATGCAGTACCAATCACAAACCATAACCTCCTTCCAACAGGACATCRCAGACTAATGAAAGTGGCCAAAGAACACAAAATTTTTTGAAGCAGCCCCAACGTGGGGCAGGTTCACACATAGACTGTGATCAGCCAAGTCCTTCATGTCATTGACATGTGGATTCTGCTAGATTCCCGCTATCCTGTTCTTGGCCATTTAATATTGAAGTGAAAGCYAGGACTTTTGCAGTAGTCCCTGTTGGATTTCAGCCTAGTCCTCTATACTTTGACAATCATTCAAAATAAAACTAATTGCAATGACTGATATTTATCAAAAACTCCTGTGTGCCAGGCACCATGCCAAATGCTTCACAATCTTCTCTCATTTAATCCTCCCGATAGGCCCACAAAGTAAATACTATTATCTTGGTTTTATAGACGAGGAAACTGAGCATCAGAGATAGTCAGAAACTTGCTAAAGATGACTAAGCCAGGATTTGAGCCCAAACTCTATGAAKCTATGGCAGCTCCAGGACTTCCCCTCCTCATCCACCCCTGCCTTAGTCAAGAGACTCTGTGGTTCACACCTGATTCCCAGCTTCCAGTCTTTCCCTTACCTGCTGCCACAAAAATTAATCTAAAAATRTTATCAAATCAAGTCAAACCTCTCAAACTATATTAGTAAGTACCCCCCCCCTTTAAAAGGCATGTGACTCACCTGTTTAAAATCCCAATGTATGTGTAGTCCACTTTGGGCTGCCATAGAACATGGCTCTAAAGTAGGATTTTCCCCATGGCCAGGATCTGTGAGGCAGCGGTCATCAAAGTTTGCCTCTGCAATCAGATTTCCCATGTAGAATTCCCCAGTTTGGTGGTAGTAGATGTTCTGGAAGATAGCAAGGGACCTGCCATGGGCACACTCAGCCGTGTAGAGGCCCAAGGATGGCTCTCGTGCCCTGGCT